ATTTTTAAATTTTTTTTTTTTTTACAGCAGCAGAGCCGCCGGACAATAGGAAACTATTGGGCGGAGCTAGCTGTCACTGCTAGCTCTGCACAATCGTTTTCTATTTACTTTTTTCTACTTTTTTCACTCTTTTTCTGTTCTGCTCAGTGCCTCTGAGGGACCGAGCAGAACAGCCGAGCTAAATGCCGATCGGCTATTCGCTCACTGCTGTTCGGGATCTTTCAGAATAGCCCGAACAGCAGTGTGAAGCCTGCCGGAGGTTCGGCTCAGCCGATCCAGATGTTGGATCGGCTGAGTCGAACTCCTTCTGCACTTCGGATCAGCCGAACATGCTGAGCATGTTCGGCTGATCCGAAGCCACACGAAGCAAGCCGATTTACGGCTGATTTCAGCCGATATACGGCTGAAATCAGCCGTACCAGCCTGAAGTGAATAGCCGAACGGTGTTCGGCTCACTTCACTTCTGATCGGTCATTCACTCGGCTGCCCTCGGCAGCTTTGTGAATAGACCCCATAAAGTATAAGAAATAATAATATATAGTTTACAGTTAGAGATATAGCATGCAGCATTGGTCATACACTATAAAGTCATTGTATGGTCAAAGGTTTATCATTTGTTTCTTTTGTTATCAGTGTTCTTATTCTCTTTTATTTCTTAAAAATTGCACAGATAAGCATTATATGGCAGTTAAACTATATTTAAAGCCATAACTGTTTTTGATAGAGAATGGTTAAAATCCCCATTAGCTTTAATTTTTGCATCTGTGTCTCATTGGGGGGATTTTATTTCCCTTCCTGCCCTGTAGACAAAACAGGAAACAAAAGGAAATCTTGCCAAAGTGAGGAAAATACCCTCCTAGACAGCTGTCAATGGAACAAGTGTTGGTAGTAGATGTCCCCTCTATTCCTTTTCTGGTGACAACCTAAAATGTTGGATTTTCCCCTAATTCCATTCTCTAGGACTAATACAGAGGGTGAGTATCCATAACAGGGACACAGACAGCAGTAAAACCTGATAGGTTCTAACCCCTCATCATGTCCAAAACTAAAAAAAAAAAATATTTTGGTTTAAGATATACTTTAAAGTTTTGGATAGAGTGGGGAATGGTTAGACACTCTATCAAGTTTTTGTTACTGTCTTTGCCCCGTTTGGGAGAATAACCCTTCTATCACCAGAAAAGAAAATGAGGAAATCCAACATTTTAGCCTTGACTCTATAACAATAGGTAAAATGAAAATCTTTACACCTAAGAGGGGAATTCTCCTCACTTCTCTAACTTCCTGATGCATCTTTGGTACAGGAAGTGAAGGGGAATTTCCCCAAAGGCACACACATTCACAAAAAAAGCCTGGCAGAGATTTTAACTTTTTCACACTCCATTCAAACTAAAAACAACGTTTTAGCTATACACAATTGAACACTTAAATTGAAATATATTCCTCAATAGCCACAAAATGTATAAATTCACTGTGTGCAATACATGCCAATGATAATTTGGATATTGCCTTGACAAAAGTACAAGTGACATTATCACTGCACTGTACATAGTCTGTGCAAAGAGCAGAGCTGTGGGAGGGACCCAGCAGGATCCACTCACTACAGGCTGCCTGCAGAAAATCTGCAGATCTGCTCAATCAGCTTCTTTGCAGCTTCTGAAGCTGGAGAGTGACACAAGAATGCGGAAGTGATGTATTATACAACACTTCCGCATTCTTGCAGAGGAGAGGGGACCGGAGGGAGCTCATGTACCGAGCTCCCTCTGATCCCGTGACACAGGCGGCCTGCTGATCCCGGGCTCGCACCGGGCACAGCAGAGCCCGGGATCAGCGAAACTCAATAAGTTCGCACTTTCGACACATCACCGGCCGTTTTTTTACTACGGCCGGCCCGGACGTGGTTAAAGTGTCTAAAGGAAGGACTACTCTTACTACATATAGCATCTATTGCAGCATTAAAGATTTCCAGGGAAACACTATTAGTTGCTATTAGTAACAATAATAAGTACTTTAATACATAAGACCCTATGAATCACGGGGGGCATATAGTAAATGTACACACTCCTGGGTAGCTTTGTCCTATGGAAAGTTACTGATGTGTTTACAATTACTATGGGGTGAAACATAAAATATACTCCCCACATTTCATACAGTGGTTTATGTAAGGTAGGATTCAAAATGCTTTGATAGATAAGAATATTAACACAACAGATGGTATTTCAAACCAAAATGGCAAAGTATGATGACATATAGCATCCTATCCAGTAATTTCACTGAGGAAAATGTCTGCTTGTTTACCAATTATTTTGGCTAACATGGTAGTTTACAAAGAATTATAGGTAGCGCTGTAAAGTTACATAAACGACTTCATATCTTGCTTTTAGTGCAGGTATGGACACTTTAAGCTGGACATACACTATACAATCAGATTGTACAATTTCTTGACAATCTTCTTTAGAACTACCAATGCTATGTAATATGAAGAAAGACCTAAACAACCTAATCAATTTGTATCAAATCAGGCATGCCCATGCACTGCATAGGAACGATGAGAATGTGCTGCCTGGGAGGGGAACACTAAAGCAAACCAATTGCATTGGTAAAGCCCAGGTTTGCACTACATAGTTGATGGTAGATCTAGAAAAGAGAGTGCAATCAGATTTTTCTACTGTATGGTCTGCTTTAAGGCAAACCTGTGCTTTATCAGTGCAATTGGTTTGCTTTAGTGTTCCCCTCCCAGGCAGCACATTCCCATCTTTCCTTTGCTCCCATGCCACCCTCTAAGCAGCAGGTATAAAGGAGCATGTGACTCCCTCCCCTTCCTCTCGTGTGACAGCACTGTTGCTGGGTAAATGGCACAACCCTGCCACATGGGGCAAGGGGTCATGTTTCAGCCATGTATAAACTATTAGAGTTACTCAGTATTTACACAGGGGTTCCTTTACTCCTCCTGTTTGCAGAATAGAGAAGCAGGAAAGAAAAAGTAAGGTGCTGATGAGTAAGGCAACATTAAAGTGAACCTGTTTCAATGTCCTGCATGAACAAAGCACATGTTCACTTTTAAACCTTGGAGCCAGCACACACCTTAATGCTGGCTGTACATATATATATGTGTCAGCAGGTCCACTGTTTTGTGCCGAGAGCACGCTCACTAGCACAGTCCCAGCATAGTGGCTAAGTTGACACCGGCTCCTAGTAACTATTAGTGATCAGGTGCTGGTGGCAGTGTGACCACTGTTATAACCAATCACAGTGATCCCATAATCGAAAAACCTTGTCATTCTAAACCACTTAAAGAAACAGCAGGAGCCAGTGAAAAGAGGTTAAATTGGAAATCCAGCCAAAAGGTAGAATGGGAAAGGGTTAGAACTTCTGTTTTGTTTTTATTAGAATCTGTCTTCCCACTGGAAAGATTTTAACACTTGCTCTTGTTCCAGTGACCTTATAAGAAAGTAAGGGGAAATCTCCCTAGTGTGGACAGAGAAGCAATAAATAAAAGTATAAAAATCAAACCACCTACAAAGCCATCCACAACTCTGCCCCTGCTATATCTCCAAGCTTGTCTCAAAGTATCACCCTAACCATCCGCCCTGCTCCTCTGAAGACCTCCTGCTCCCTAGCTCCCTCATTAATTCCTCCCTCTCTCATCTTCAGGACTTCTCTAGAGTCTCTCCCATCCCGTGGAACTCCCTACCACAACCTATCTGGCAATCTCTTACTCTGTCTGCCTTTAGGCGATTCCTAAAGCCTTATCTCTTCATGGAAGCCTATCCCACCTCAACCCAACCACTGAAGTATCACTTCCTCAAACAATGCATCCCCACGCAGCTGCCACCTTTTGGATCACTTGCCCCCTCACTTTTAGATTGTAAGCTCTCAGGGGCATGACCCTCCTTACCCACTTGTCTTAATTTGTATTGTAAATGTAATGTATTCCTTATATTGTAAAGCACTGCACAATTTTTTGGCGCTATATATATCATGTATAATAATAATAAAACCTGAGATTTTAACCTCTAGCAACTATTCAAAACATAAACGAATTCCACTTTAACATACTTGTAAATGTTATTAGCTGCTTATCTACATAATGTAAATATTGTACATTTTGTTTTATGGGGGTAGGTATAGAGATCATTTAAAGATCCAAGACATACGATAAATAATAGGAAAGCACAATGAAAGTGCAAACAGCTCAATAGAATCATATTATCATCAACTTCTAATTTT